CGTGCAAAGGGGTCTCATGTGAGTTATGTGTGTGTCAGACCATGAACCCTAACTGAAGAACACGATTGTGAGTATGATGTCAGAGTTCACCACCAGCTTATCAGTTCAGGGCCTACAGATGTTCTCATGGGGGGGGCAGCAGAACAGAGCCTTTCTTAGACATAACAACCAGGGGAGGATAGCCGGCCAGCCAAGGCCACCCCGGGGAACCAGATTCCGATAGCAATAATTTGTAAAGTCTCGCTGGTGCTTCACAATGGCAAAGCCAAACATCCGAATTTAGGGTCTCCCGTCTGATCCGTGCGAACAACATTCTCCAAGGTCACACCATATCCATTCTGAGTCCGAGATCCGCTGCCCGTCCACGGTCCTTTTCCAGGATCGCATCCAGTCTGCGGCTCGGCTTCCGTATCATCTCAGTCTGAGTGTTGATCGCTCTGCAGATCCCATCATCCGTACCCAGCAGCCTCAAAGTTGCCAAAATGGCTGCCGGCAACTTCTGAAATTTCCGATAAGCCAGGTAGCCACCAACTCCAATAAGCAGAAAACTTATCATAAATCCAATCATGTACACATCTTCAACATCCTCGACTGACGGCGTCGTCAGACACACGGTCTTCTACTTCCATGTAGAATCCATTGTGTATCCAGCGAAGAATGTCCCCTCAGGACACAACGGTTCCCTTTACCCATTTTCCCAGTGGGAAAAATTTTATCAATTGGGTTGAGAGACCAGCTGACCAGATCCATAATTTGCAACTTCGGAAGCTATGCAAAGAAAGACTAAAAACACAGGACACAGACACTGAACAGGGAAGATAGGGAGGCAGGGAGACAGAGAAAGTGCGTCCTCCTCCTTCGAAGGGCAGAGCAGAAAACCTGTCTAATATCAATCAATCAAATGTTATTTGTATAGCACATTTCAGCAGCAAGGCATTTCAAAGTGCTTTACATGATTAAAAAAAACAGCACGTGACATTGAATAAACGGTAAGAAAGAGAGATTTTGAAAAAAAAAAAAGATTAAAAAAAGATAAAAACATTAAAACCCAGGCCTCTGTCCTTATCTGGTACTCAAACCCGATCTGGGACTTTAGTCAAAACGCCGTTTGACAAGGACTCCAACCTCTAGGACTTCAGTTAAACGCCATTTAATTCATAGAATCTAATAACTGTGTACATCAACTAGAGTGTAATAATGCAGTGGTTTTAAATGTGCTGAAATTATTTACATGAGAAAAAGGGGAATTATCCTTATTTACCCCATGGATTTTTTTAGGTCCACCAGCATATTAGGGGTGCACCGATGGTACTTTTTTGGCAAATTGCTCACTACTTGTCCTTATAAAGCCTGGCTTACCGATCCCAACATTGGCCGATAAGTTTGTTTTTTTTTTTTGTCTGAAATGTTGCTAAATATAGCAAAAAAGTGAATGAGTTTTTAAAAGTGGGGTGACTATTTTTAACTGCAAACATGACCTGGTGGGCCTCAAACCTTTCTCAAGGGAGAGCAGAAGAGTACAGTGTTTGATATTTGGATCCCTGCTTAGGTAGATGACATCCGGGGGTAAGATTGGCTTCACCCGTAAGTATTGACTGACCACTGATCTCCCAAAATTGAGGAAATCTGTGCTGATAAATCAGCTGGCGAATGAATCAGCTGGCTAATAAATCGGTGATCCCCTACTGGCTGTACAGTTTCTGGCTCTGGAAGGACTCCTCCTTGTTGAAAGGGTCCCAAAAACCTCTAAAGGGAGCAGAAAATGCATCCAAAATTTATTCCTATAATCCTATCATTTCAATTGTCCTGAGTTCATATGCAAGGCCAGCCCAATGTGGACATATCTAACATGAATTCACAACAGGCTTATAATGCTTCTGGGTTTTTCATTAGTGTGAATGCTGTAGTCACTCACACTCTTAAGTTCTCTTTCATGTGGATCTCTAATTTCAATATGGCTTAGTTTTATAAACACACAATATAGTTCAAGTTAGTTGTAGTTTTCCCTGATTAATTACCGTTTTTATTTCAGTTAAAAATGTTTTCTCAGTTTCAGGTTTCATTATTTGTTCATTTTAGTTAACTATAATAACTTTGATTTATACAGAACTTTAGTAGTTTATATGATAACAAGGGCCTAAATGAATGAGTATTCTATAAATTTTAGTCTTGTATCGTCATTTTAAAAATCAACAGGAAATCTGTGAAATCAAACTGGAGACTCAGGCTGCAATTGTAGAAAATGTTTATATGGATCTGGAGTAATTGCTAGTTTACTTCCTCTTGTAATACTGTACACCATGCACCACTTTTGCTTGCTTTACTTTACTTACTTCCTTTCTGCCATCCCTGGTTAACATCAGTGTTTTAAGTCTTTCTCTCTGTCTCCCATTACAGTCTGTTTGAAGATGAAGTGATGTCCTACGTCCCTCCTCATGCCTTACTTCTCCCCAGCTACTGCCAGTCACCTCGGGGATCCCCTGTTTCCTCCCCCCAGAACTCACCAGGTATCTTACTGACACATTACCAAATACAAAAAAAATGTTCCTGAAACTATCCGTCAGTCCCTCTTCCTGTCTCACTCTAGGAACTCAGCGAGCCAATGCCAGAGCCCCAGCTCCTTACAAGAGAGACTTTGAGGCAAAACTCCGCAACTTCTACAGAAAACTGGAAACTAAAGGCTATGGTCAAGGCCCTGGAAAGCTAAAGTGAGCTGAATTTATATCTGTGTGTATCTTGTTAGACTTCCTCACTTCATTTTGGTATATAGTTTGGGTTTCATGTTCATTTTTGTGCATATGAAGAGTGACTATCCGTCGGGACCATCTCTTGGAAGATGCTTTCAACCAGATCATGTGCTATTCCCGGAAGGACCTGCAGCGCAGCAAGTTCTATGTCAGTTTTGTTGGGGAGGAGGGGTGAGTAACTGAGATGGAAACCAATCTCGAAAAGAAAGTACAAGAGTAGAGGTTTAAGCATTAATCTGTGTGTGTGGGTGTGTGTGTGTTACAGCTTGGACTACAGTGGGCCTTCTAGGGAGTTCTTCTTCCTGGTTTCCAGGGAACTGTTCAACCCATATTATGGTCTGTTTGAATATTCAGCCAATGACACCTACACCGTTCAGATCAGCCCCATGTCGGCCTTTGTAGACAATCACCATGAATGGTAAGAATTGACACAAACACAAAAACACAAATTGTATTGAAATGAATGTCCCATAATGTAACTGATGCATGTCTGAGAGTTATCAGAAGTTATGGGAATTCCTACAGCCTGGAGGAATAGTTTAATGGTCCAAATGCTAGTTCTGATGCTCCATTTTAATCTTAGATAGAAGATTGGAAAAGTCTGAGGTCTACAGAGTGAAAAGAAATGGTGAGAGTATAGACCCCTGTGGTGCTCCTGTGCCTCTCGCTGCCTGGTCAGAAACACTACCCTTCAGTCATAACGTGTGTTCTGTTTGTCAGGTAGACATTAATCCAGGTGACTGTTGAGGTCTCCATCTGTATTTTGTGGAGTTACTGACGGGGCCAATCAGATTGAATTATGTTAAATGCATTAGAGAATTTAAAGAACATAATCCTCACAGTTCTCCCTGCTTACATGACAGTGGATTTGTTGAAGCAGATATATGATGGCATCTTCAACTCCAGAGAAATGAGCAGATTGCAGGGCAAGCATGCTTGCTTTCACAAGATGATCTGCAGCCTTGTTCTGATTCAGACTCTCCAGCTACTTCTTCACCTGACTTCCAGACATGGACTACTCAAGATGGTGGTGCCATTCTAGAACTTGATTGGCCCAGTCTAGTCAAAGAACCTTTTCTTCCAACAGACTGGGCCAACTTGTAATAAAACTGCACAATTTATCACTTGGACCATAATTATTTGCACCGGGTAATTTAATGCCAACTTTGCATTAAATTATCATAATTTACAAAATGATGCAAAATTGGCACTTTTAATGGACTTTTAATGCAACATTTAGAGCAACTTTGCATTAAAAGTATCATTATTTACCAAATGACACTTCATGACAACTGTCAAACATTCATAAAGACTTCTTTACGTTCATGACAGGGTCGTGTCAGTCTTATGCGCACCCCTTCAAATAAAGTGTTGCCCATTGTTTTATTACGAAGCTGAAGGCAACAGCAAAACACCAGCTCTTACGGCCAACTCTGTCTTCTTCCTCTGTTTGCTCATCACCTCTTCTGATTTCTATGTTCTGATCGTTTTCAATGGGCTCCAATTCAAATTAAAAAGGCTTAACGTTTCTCATCACTGTTTTGGATTCACTGTTCTGAATTTTAGAGAGGAAATTATCTAGCAACTCATCTACATCACTGCAACTTACAGATGAGGATAAAGAATAGATTTGATTACATTTTGATCACAGTGTTTCTCTCTGTAACATCAGTTATAGAGACAATGGAAATATTCACACTGATAATTAGATCCAGTATGTGACCTCGATTGTGTGTTGCTTGGTTTCCAAACATTTTCTGGGCCCCCCCTATGGATTACAAATAGGGAGAGTTAGACTCTTGCTGTCTTGTTGAACAATGTATGTGAGCAGGGGGAGGTGGGTGGGGCGATGCTGGGTGCGGACTTCCTGTTATACAACGCGTGTCTCTGGGTGGGGGGGGGGGGGGTTCCTAGAGACCCCCTATTATACTCTTCCATCCACTCAAACACTCATCCCACTCCACCCCCCTGAGTGCACACAGCGTTCATTGTTTTTTTTTTTGTGTTTTTTTTCATTCATCCATACCACTTCCTGCACCCCCTACCCCCCTGAAATGACACGGAACCCCCCACAGTTTGGGAATCTCTGAATTAGACCAAGATTATCAAGAATATCTCACAGGTTTGTGTTCACTACAGTCATAAGGCCGACTATCCATTTGTTTGTGTGCCTCAGGTTCCGTTTCAGTGGCCGCATTCTGGGTCTGGCTCTGATCCATCAGTATCTGCTGGATGCCTTCTTCACCAGACCCTTCTATAAAGGCCTTCTGCGCATGTATGTTTATCCAGAGTTAACCATGAATATAAGGAAAGCATTCACCAACATGCATTTTAATTGTTTACAATTTTTTTTTTTTATTGTAATGCTACGCTCACTGAAAGACCCAAAAACTCACATGAGTGCAGTCATTCATTGTTTGCCTTTTCTATTCTCCAGTCCCTGCGATCTGAGTGACCTGGAATATCTGGATGAGGAGTTCCACCAGTCTCTCCAGTGGATGAAGGACAATGATATAGAAGACATGCTTGACCTCACCTTTACTGTCAATGAGGAAGTGTTTGGACAGGTCAGACTCTGAGACTGCCTACATATTTAGATGCTTACTGCTATCTTGTTAACAAGTGATAGACTAGAAAACAATTAAAGTTTTTGGTCACAAATATAACTTTTTTTTTGGCTCAGATACACTTTATTTGACAGCAGTTAGACAGAAAAGTAGGTAATAAGAGAAGGGGAAGACATACGGCAAAGGTCATCAGGACTCGAAACTGTGACGTCCATGTAAGGATTGTGCTTTACGCCTGTGCCACCACAGCACCCTGTCATAAATATTTTTTTTCTGTGCAATGTGACTCCAAATTATTTAGAGACTACAAATCACCTGTTTGTAGATTATTTACTCGATGTTCAAAAGAAAATGCAGCTTGGAAAGCCGAAGTACCTAGGCGCAATGCTACTTGTAAAACAGGGTGGTGTTTGCAAAGCTGCCAATCCAAGACTGTCATTCATTTTCCTTGGCTATAAATGGTTTTACCCTCAAGACAAGAGATAAAACTGTAGCTTCTGGAGTCTTGCTGTTTCCACTGTGTGCATTAATGCATATTAAGATATATTTAGTGTTTGAGCTAATAAAACAAATATATTGTTCCATAGTATGTCGCATTAGTCAAAAAAAAATGGGAAAAAACAAACGAGACGCACTGCTGGGGGTAAGTCACATTTAACCTTTCAGAGTGAAAATTAAATGAGAAAATTCAGTGAATATTCTTGTCTTCTCCCATCTTAACTATACTACTGATGTTTCCAATTGGGGTGCAGTTTTCTGACTGAACGCTGGCTCTTCATCTTTAAAAAGCCTGACCTGAGAATTCTGGTTGAAAGCATTGGTCGATTGCTGATCTCCCAAAATTAAGGAAATGGGGGGCTGATTTATCAGTGCACCCTTTGTTCCCAAACCCAGCTCCACTAGCTTGTGGATTCTGTTTTTGAAAGTGGCTAAAGCATTATTACATCTGTCCGTCTGTCTTTCAGACTCAAACACAGATTTAGCATTGAGCTAGACATGGTTTTTGTAGATCACAGAACGGGAGCTGAAACCTGGTGGAGGGAACATCCCAGTCTCAGAGAAGAACAAGAAAGAGTACATCGAGCGGATGGTGAAGTGGAGGATAGAGCGAGGAGTCGTCCAGCAGACTGAAAGCCTGGTCAGAGGTTTTTATGAGGTGGGGTGTGTCGACCTTGTAAAAACAAAACAGTTTGTTCCAGACATTTCAATTTTACAGGACATTTATTACCTTTACAATATATGTTTCTCTTCAGGTGGTGGATGCGAGATTGGTGTCTGTGTTTGATGCCAGGGAGCTGGAGCTGGTCATTGCTGGCACTGCTGAGATTGACTTATCAGACTGGAGGAGCAATACTGAATACAGAGGAGGTACACAGGGATCAATAAAGTAATCTCTGAAAGATTATGGATTTAGATTTATTTTTTTCCAGTTCTGGATCAAATAATGAAAAATTACAGTATGGAAATTTACAGATTTTATTTCCTATTCTTCATTCTCACCTTTATTCCTTGTGTCCTTCCTTTCTTGTATATTTTCTTACCTGCCCGTCATCACTATTTCTTCTTCTGTCTTGTACTTCTGTCACTTCTTCATTTCTCCCTTAATTTTTTTCTGACTTACTCATAAGTAAAATGATTTTCTATTTTCCTCTTTTCATTCCTTAATTGTGTCGATGTCAAATTTATTTATATAGCACTTTAAAAACAGGTTTAAAACGGCGCCAAACCCTGTACGAAAAGTGATAAGTTGATAAAAAGAAAAAGAAAATAATACAACAAAAATGTATAATGTTAAAATAATAAGAGTAATGATAATAAGTAAACAAAAACAAAAAACATCACAACTGAATAACTAAAGTATCAGGCCTCAATTAAATGCCAAAAAATAAAAATGAGTTTTAAGAATTGATTTAAAATGATCCAGGCTGCGGGCAGATCTGGAAAGGAAGATTATTGCATAGAACAGGAACAGCAATGGAGAAGACCCGATCTCCTTTTTTCTTAAGGGTAGTCTGAGGGACTTTCAGTAACAGCTGATTATTTGATCTTAAAGTTATGGACACAGAATGAAGTTTCAAAAGATCTGAAAATAAGGAATGGCTAACCTGTTTAAAACTTTATAAGTTTTTAAAAGAATCTTAAAATCTATTCAATATGAAACTGGCAGCCAGTGTAAGGAGGCCAATAAGGGCCTTATTCGGTCACACTTCCAGGTGACTAAGAAGCCAAGCTGCTGCATTCTGGATCACTTGAAGATGCTGTATCAGGGTTTCAACCATTACCTTTACATAAAAATTACAATTACTAAGATTCCTGGCTGAAATCCGACAGAACGGAGCCGAAGAACCAAGTATCGTGTCTGGATTTTTAGTGTGAAGGTTTTGACCAAATAATATGATTTGAGTTTTGCTATGATTGAGATGAAGAAAATTTAGTTCCATCCATAATCTAACTTCAGCTCTTCTTTGTCTTTTTTCACTCCTTCCTTGTGTGTTTCCTCTTTATCTCATCTCCTTCCTTTCTTTCAGCTCCATCTGTCAGTTTCTGCTTTTTTTCTGGTTGCATATATAATGCCATACATATGGAACCATATGTTCCAGTGTGTCTGCGTACACTGAACCATATTTGTAGTTTTGCATTTTAACTTAGTGAGCACAACTGGGAAGTCTTGGGTACTGAAAGGCATGGAACTTTGATATGACATATGTATACAGACCCAGACCATAATGACACAATGGGGTGTGTTGTTTTCAGGTTACCATGACAACCATATTGTTATCCGGTGGTTCTGGGCTGCAGTGGAGAGGTTCAACAATGAGCAGAGATTACGACTCTTGCAGGTAGGCTAGTTTGTACATGGGAATGTAGCAGATGCCAAGCTAAATATCAGTATAGTACAATATTTATATAGATAATTTCATTCTTAAAGTAAAGAACATGTATTTTTAATGTTCACTGGGCATATACTATATGCCCAAAATACTATATGTATTTTGGGCATATAGTATAAGAAATATGCACCAACAGTTCTTTCCATTTTAAGATTCAGATTTTCTGATCATCTGAACTGTAATCCAAAATCATTGAGTAATGTGTAATGAATCTATAATGAGATTCACTCTTCAGACAAAATAATAAAGAAACTTTAACTAAAATGTATTTGTTTTCCACACTAATTCTGGTCCCTCTTTGTCTCCATATATTGAGTTTGTGACAGGAACATCAAGCATTCCATACGAGGGCTTCGCTTCACTGCGTGGCAGTAATGGACCACGCAGGTTCTGTGTGGAAAAGTGGGGAAAGATCACCTCACTGCCCAGGTGCCTGATCTTGATGACATTTTAATCCAGTTTAATTAGGGCTGAGAAACTTTAGTCCTCAAATCTAAGACACATGATTCAGATAATTGAATCATCTCCTTTCCTGTCCACCAATTTTAGCAGGTGTTTGAAAAACAAAAGACACCTTGACAATTAGAGTTGCAATTCCTTAAGGAGGTCCAATGGTTCTTTAAGAATAATTAAAAACCAAAACCCAACCATAATTATATTGCTCCTCTTGGTCTTATAGGGACATCTACAAGGTTCACAGTAGGTCTGGACAATATGGGTTAAAAATGTATCAAAATATTAGCACTGTATATTGGTCGATATTGATAGTGTAAAACTTAACTATTAATTAGTTTTAAGTTTTAAATATCTGGAAATACTGCTAAATTGGTGGTGTGAGATTTCTTGTTTTATCCACAGCTTTTGCTTTAGCTTTTAAGCAGTTTTGAATCACGGCGATGAAACCTTAAACTGCTGCTGTGCAAGTTACTCAACATGGTTGTTGCTTGGTAATCAAAGAGTGAGTGAATTAGAAATGCCACTCACCTAGTTTAGCTGCCCATGATACGTTAAGTGGCTAAAGTCTTTCCTCTACCTACATCCCCAGAATGAGGTGCAATACTATATTGGAGTTCAGTAAAATTACTGACAATTCCATCAGAAGTATGTATAACTGACATGTCTGTCATAACATATGTTGTTACTGATTTATTGTCCAAACCCATTTTACAGAAATTAAATGATACTAAATTAAAAATGACTGACTTGGTGGTTGAATTGAAAGAACAGGTTGAATACATTTCTGGTAATTAGTTTGAGTATATCTACACCAGCTTGGCTCTATGTATGGACCCTTGCAGCGTGACATCATCTGCGCAAGATCCCACCCCCCATCTCCCTGCTGGGGGTCAAAAAGCTGCTGGCTGACGATGACCATCATTAGTTTTAGCTGTTATCAACATAATGCACTAAATCTTAAATGTATACTTGATAAACAAAAAAAGGGATACAGTGTTTTAAATTAAAAATAAAATAGCAGGGGATGGAAGTAGTTCAGTTATTATTACTTGACTTGGACAACCATAACATGTAGATGTCATGTGGAATTATGTGTGTCTTTATTCAGTTACAAAAAAAAAATCTAAACACAAACTCTGTCAAATCAAATTCAAATAAAAAAATGCTTTATTGATTCCAAAGGAAAATTAAATGTTGTTTTAACTTGTAATTTCAAGTTTTCAGAGTTCTTTGAAGACTTGGATCTTGAATACTATCTATCCACCTTTTACCCCCTTCAGACCAACTCACAGCCATTTACTGCACCCTAACAACCGAATAAGACTTTATTTATTTATCACTGATATACCACTCCTATTTTATGTTCTAGAAACATAATGACAAACAAAAGTACTTATGTCTTAACACACAACATTAATGGTTAAGACTACTTAACATAATTTAGACTCCACACCTTTACTTGGAGAAAAGGTGATCCCAGTAGATAAACTATGAATTCCTTATAGAAAACATGAGAACCTATTGATCAAAGCCGTTTGTAAAACCAGTAAATGAAAATTAAGTTCTAAATATTGTTAATGCTGGAAAAATAAAACATCCTCTCACTATAATGACATTGATATGCTATTGGTAGTGTTGAAGAAGATTTTAGGTTACAATATTTCTTAAGAAAACTCTTTGCCTCGATCTTCTTCGATCCCAGATTCTCCCGGCAGACTGCGTGTAGCCACACAGAAAACGAGTGTAGACGTCACAGAATTAGAGTTTAATCCAATAGAAGACAACGCATGAAATTACAACAGAAACTGCAGAACAACAGAGACATACATTCATTTACCTGACACAAATGGAAAAGAAGAAGGAAAGAAAGAAAGAAAAGCAAAGACGTCTTTGGAGAATTGCAAGAGCAAATCTGATTCGTTACTTCTGTGTAGGAAGTTTTATAGTAAAGGAGTATTCTTGTCTTTAATTTATTCAAATAAGGCATACCTTTGCTCATCCAACCAGAAGCTATCTCTGACCTTTTTAAAACTCCTAGCAAGTCACGATCTAAGACCATTTGTCTCCATTGTTTAAAGAAAGTGAGAGCAGAGACTCTCCTGAACTCCTGCTGTTTTATGACTTTTCACAAATGAGTGTGAAAGCTGGAACTTCTCCTGATTGTTTCCCACACAGACAAATGGCAGTTCAAAAGATCTTAGCAAACTATCTGCTGTAACTACAAGTAACATAAAGGTCAATAGGCCAGAATAAGTTACTGATTTTAAAACTATAATTAGGCTATTTCAATCAAGACATGCTAAGTTTCAAAACTAGCACACTTTAAATTTATTGTCTTAACAGTAGAAAAGTACTTCAGGGTATTTTTAAGAAATCTACAGGAGAGAGAATCTACAACAACTTTTGGATACTATTACCTCATAATTCATTACAATTAAAAGCTGGCTTGATATGAATACGTTTTGCCCCAAGGACACAACAGAGGCAGATGTATTGGGAATTGAATAGACAAGCCACCGATTGTAGGACTAAATCCTACCACCATCGCCACCATCATTCCTAAATTACGTGCATTTTCCAGACACGTAGTGTGATTTTATAGTACAATCAAGTGACTGTTACCTTCAGTTATTAAAATGCTTTGTCTCAAAAACAATTTTAAAAAAAGTTCATTAAAAAAATTTGACTTTGCAATGTCTGATGCCTTGCAATTAGCTTCTGTCTAAGAATTTCCCTCCTTTCCCACAGTCTTCTTTCAGCACATCATCACATAACTGCCATTTACAACTGTCCTTAGGAGTGTTGCTGTTACCTGAGTGAAGTCGCCCCCCCCCACCTTATTCAAATCAGACAAAATTGGTGTCAAACGTTTGTGCTGGTTTGTGCAGCAAAAATTTTCGTTTGTGCCGCTATAATTTTAAAGATATGAAGAAATGTTTCTAGAGGTCATCAAAGGTCAACCAGCCCCCCACCTTCTTCAAATCAGACAAAATGGGTGTCAATCAACTCGGCTATTTTTGTGCTGGTTTGTGTAGCAAAAATTTTTGTTTGTGTTGCTTTGGCTTTGAAGATATTAATGAAAGTGTAAAGGTTAAAAGGTCAACCAGCCCCCCCACTTTTTTGAAATCAAACAAAATTGGTGTCAAATGTTTGTGCTACATTTGTGCTGGTTGACCTCTATAAACTACTATTAATCTTTAAAAAGATAGCAGTACAAACGAAAATCTTTGCTGCACAAACGTAGCACAAACGTTTGACACCAATTTTGTCTGATTTGAAGAAGGTGGGGGGGGGCAACTTCACTCAGGTGTTGCTGTTTGTATAAAAAGCTCTGCAGACTTGCAGTTCCACTATATGTTTGCTCATTACTGCTGCTGCTACTCTGGTGGAGCTGTGTGAGGGAGGGGTGGTCTGTATGGTGGGAGCTCAGCTGGGGAATGAAGTGTCAAGGTGGAGCTTTTGGTTAATAGGCAGCACTTTGTATGAGCAGGCATTTAGTCACCTCCTGCCAAACGTAATTTGTCTAGTTTCAATCTCTAACTGTGCCGTCTGTTTTTTTTTCTGCAGAGCTCACACATGTTTCAATCGATTGGACCTGCCACCATACCAGTCCTTCTCTATGTTGTATGATAAGCTGCTGACTGCTGTGGAAGAGACCAGCACCTTTGGGCTAGAATGAGATGCTGTCTTTGTCTGGCCCAGTTTTCTATAGCACTTTTTAACCTGCTTTTGGTAAAGAGAAGAGGCCATGCTAGAAGAGAAGACATTGCCCTTTCGTCAGTCTTCAGCATCCCCAAAACTGTTTTTTACTCAAAGGGTGATTTAAAAGCCTTGATTGGTGAAAACCTAATGACCCAGTTTTAAAGCATTTAGTTAAAAAGCACCGTCTGGTAACGTTCAGTGATTGGTTGGTAGGCAACATCAAGTCCAAGACCTCAGTCAAAAACGAGAAAGACCGATTAGAATATACTTTACTACTCAGTCTGAAAATGACTTTGCCTCAGATATTTTAAATCAAGACTGAGCTTTTGAAATGACTCCACTGAAAAAGTAAATGCTTTATGTTGCACTCCTATATTTTGCACGCTTTCACTTGTAACACTAGAGAAATGAAGCCCTGCACTGCCTTCAGGACTGACATCAGTGCTGCCAAGCCCTGACCATTCAGACACCTCTTTTTACACATTACAGAAGGGAAGTAAGTTTTTTGTTTCAAAAGCTAAGTTTTTTTTTTCTTTTTATGGTTTGAATGACTTATCAAAATACAAGACTGCCCAGCAAAAGCAATTCCAAGTACAGCAACTATTTGGAGCTGCCCAATTTAGAAACTGCATGTGTAGATTTCAAAAGCATTTAGAGTTCTTTATGCTGTATCTCAAACATTTGTGGGAATTTCTAATTGAACCTAAAAGCTAACAGTTAATTTTGGATTCTAGTTAGGAGATTTTGTATTAAATTTCAGTATTTTCCATGACAATAGAGGATTTTCTTTCTCGGAAGGATCTGAATGTAACCAGCCTTAGCCTTCAAAATAATTAATTACCATATAATTGTGTTAATTGGTTGAAGTGAACATTAGATGGAATTTGAAGTTTCTTATGTCATGATGTATAACCTCCTTTCCATTAGATTTAAAACTGTCTTAATACATCCTTCAGTGTGTTATACACACTATTAATCAACTGTAAAAAATTTGATCTTCAACAAAGCAAATGCTGGGATTGCCTTTGGAAGAAATGAGTGCATTGTGAATTATTTAACAGGAAAACAAGCTACAGTTAGAGACGGACATCAAAAGCATTGATTAACTGATACATCAATGTATCAGTTAAACACCGTCTGGTACATGGTTGTCTATATTTTCAACCATGTAATTCGCTTAGAGCTACAGACAACAGCTGCAGTCTCTAAATCTCAGGATCATAAGATATTTTCAAAATATAAATGTGGAATAATTTTATTTTTGAAAAGTTTGATTTTCACTGAGATCAAAAGTAATAAGAAAATTTTATTGTTTTAGGAAATGTTTAATTTCATCCTGTCACAGCCATGTTGTGAGAAGAAGCAAACATATTTAATTCCAACTTTATGAGCAAAAGTACACTTGAAGTTCATCATTCAATTTGTGGAGAAAATCATCCACAAACTAAAATCTTTAAAGTGGCTATGTCATTTGAAACCCTTCTTTTTCATATCCAAATACTTCTCTTATAAAGTAGACCTGCAATGCTTTGGTCTGAATTACTCATTTTAGCTCCACATACCCTGTTCTGAAGCACCTTTTAAAGCAACTTGTTTTGCGGTTTGTTTTCTCGGGGGGCGGGGGTTAATGTGTATTAGACATTTCATGCCCTGCTCCTTCTTCCTTCATTGTGTGTTCCACTCCACGCCATTCTGCCCTGTTTGTAGTTTTGATTCCAGCAATACAGTTATTTACCAATAGATACACTTTTTATTCCCAAGTTTATTAAAGGTGTCAACAACAGAAGATTTGCCCATCCAGCCTTCCATGCTGGAGCCAGAGTCTGACCCGGAGCAGGATAATGGGGAAAACAAACCACCAGAGCCTTTCCTTCAGATGAATACATTGCAATGGTGTAATTTTCTATTTACACTTTCTCCATCCATACCAACTACCTACAATATGGAGCGTAATTTAACCATAATGTCCATGCATGTCATTAAAATTCTAATGCAACCAACAATATTGATAAAGTCAGCAAATGCTCGACATAATTAATGAGTTAGCTAACAGGATGTGTTCTCCAAGACAAATATGGCAAAAACAAAGCCACATTTTTTGAAATGTATATATCAGGGTTTCCCCCAGTGTATTACAGGCCTGGCGGCCCACCATCCTTTACTAGCGCCACTCCCAGGCTAAGCCTTTCTTGTTTGTTTTTAGGAAAATAATTTTGAAAATTTTTTTTTTTATGGTGCTGCTGCTGACTTAATTTGGATTAAACAAAAGTGCAAATAATTGATATTCATTTTAATTGTATATTTTGATTTGTTTTTAAGACTAGTTGTGGGTTTAAGTAGTGTTTCACTGGTGATGTTTTCCCATAACTTATAATTACCGAGTGATATTTTTACAATTCCTGTCA